AGTTTCTCTTTTTTCCCCGGGTGGAGGTCAGTCTGTCCAGGGGGCTATGCTGCTCTGGCCCAGGCTTGTCTGTGGGAGCACCTTGGTACTGCGAAGCTCACCTGGTCTGCATCTTCCCAAGCTGTCTGGGCGTGGGTGACTGGTGGCCCGGGGGCCCTCCTTGTTTCTCCATTTAATGTGAAGTGGAGATTCTCTGCACCGGCTGGAGCTGTGGAGGGGTCAAAGTTATGTGTCTTCTCAGTGATTATGCCTGCAAAGTTTGTCTCCAGCGTCTCTCCAAGATTTCACTATAGGAGGCTCGCTTTCTGCTTCCTCCCTCTAGCCGCCATCTTGGAGTCCCCTAAACATTTTCTCTGAATATTTAACATGTAATCTTAATATTTCACACTTTACCTAAGTAATGTAGTGATTTACACAAAATATAAAGATCTTAATACTTTATATGTTTATTTTCCTCACACTGTCTTTATGATATTGTTTCTATATGTCTTATATCTGTTCCTATAAAGGACACCACAAGACAATATTACATTTTTTGTTTGGTGAGGTTTATGTATTTTAATGGAATTAGAAGGAAATCATCTTTATAATAAACCAGGTATTTGCCACTTAGATTCTTTTTATCCATTCCCAAAAGTGAGAGATTGCCATTCTTCCCTTAAGGTCCTTCTTCATGGCAGTATATTCAAGGGCACTGCTAGAACAACAGCTGCTGGATTCTCCTGGGACATGTGAAAATCTCAGAGATGATTTCTAGAATAGGCCATCTGATAGTTAAAGGAATCATGTGTATACATTGAATTCTAGCCCCCAGTATTTGAGGTTGCCTTCAGAGACCTAAACTGATTTCACGCTGTGAGGTGCATGCCCTTGGACTGAACAGGGTTCTGTGGCCTCCCAGAAGGTCCTGGGTTTCAAAGAAGTGGTGAAGGATTAAAGTGAAGAGCTTAGTGGATCGTGCTGGGAGCAGGAAATGGGGAGTGGGAGTTGGAATACTTAATTATAAGCTGTTTGAACTACTCAGTCTCAGTTAGTTCTCATCTCTGAAAAATGAGAGAAATAAAAGAACCTATTTCATAAAATTGCTGATTAAATATATGTAAAATGCTTAGCATGATTTTTGGCATAGTGTGAATTTTTGGTTGAAGTTATTATAGAGATTGTAATCTTTTCCTCAGAAGTGGGGCTACAGGATTTTAGACAGGAGATTCTAAAATGAGGATTAGTAAGAGAACTAGAGTAAGACTCTGTCTTTGAATTGAAGTTTCTGGCATTCTATCATAATCAACCTACAGCATAAGGAAGAACTCAGGAGGCAACACTTTGACATATGAGTTTGTGTATGATCATGTCTGTTTTTGTATGTATGTCTATCTTTTAGATCTGCCATGTATGAGAGAAAACATGTGGCCTTTGTGTTTCTGAGCCTGGCTTACTTCACTTAACAGGATGTCCTCCAATTGCATCCATTTACCTTCAAACTACATGCCATTATTCCTTATGGCTCAGTAAAACTCACTCTCTCTCTCTCTCTCTCTCTCTCTCTCTCTCTCTCTCTCTATATATATATATATATATATATATATATATATATAATCTGATATATAAATATATCACATTTTCTTCATCCATTCATCAGTCGTAGGGCATTTTTCCATAGTTTTTTCCATAGTTTGGTTATTGTGAATAGTGATGTGATGAATATTGGTGTACAGGTGTCTCTATTATATGCTGAAATAATATTATTTCATGACACAAAATCCCAATTAGAAGTCATTGTTACATATACTTCAATATAATAAAGTTTGTATTCCAAACCTATAGCTAACATTATACTAAAAGGCAAAAGACAGAATTTATTACCTCTAACGTCAGGAACAAGACAAGGGTGTTCACTCTCTCCATTCTTATTCAATATAGTACTGGTATTCCTAGTCAGAGCAATAAGGGAAGAAAAAGAAATAAAAGGGGATCAAATAGGGAAGGAGGAACTCAAGTTATCATCCCTATTTGTAGATGATATGATCTGTACTTAAAAGACCCTAATAATTCCATCAAAAACTTCTAGATCTGATAAACATTTTCTGTAATGTAGCAGGATATAAAATTAACATATAAAAATCAATAGCTTTTCTATTTCCTAATAATGAATAGGCTGAGAAAGAAATGAGGAAAACAATTCTGTTCACAATAGCCTCAAAAATGTAATACATCAGATTAAACTTAACTAAGGAGTAAAAAACTTCTACCATGCAAACTATAAAACCTTGAAAGAAATTGAAGAAGGCACCAGAAGATAGAAAGACCTCTCATGTACCTGGAGTGGCAGGTGAAAATGGCTATACTACCCAAAGCAATCTACACATTCGATGAAATTCCCATCAAAACCTCAATATTGTTCTTCATATAAATAGAAAAATCAATCCTAAAATTCATGTCGAAGAATAAAAGATCTCAATTAGTGAAAGTAATTCTGAGAAAATAGAGAACTGCTGGAGGTATCATAATACGGGACTTCAAATTATACTACAAACCCATAGTTGCAAAAACTGTGGCACTGGTACAAAAACAGACATGGATACCTATGGAACAAAATGCAAAGCCCAGAAATAAACCCACACTGCTATAGCCAACAGAGTTTTGACAAAGTTGCCAGAAACATACACTGGAGAAAAGACAGCCCCTTCAACAAATGGTTCTGGGAAAACTGGTTATCTACATGCAGAAGAATGAAACTAGACCCTTTCTGTCACTCTGTACAAGAATGGGTCACAGATCCTATTGTGAGATTTGAAATTTTAACTTACTACAGGAAAAAACTGTAAGGTATAGATACCATACTGGCAATTTTTTTTATTAATAGAACTCCAATTGGCTAGGAAATAAGAGTAAGAATTGACAAATGGGATTTCATCAAATTAAAAGGCTTCTCATCAGAAGAAACAATTTCCAGAGTCAAGAGACAACTCACAGAATGAGAGAAAATATTTGGCAGCTATTTATTGGATAAAGTATTAATATCTAGAATAAATAAAGAACACAAAAATTAAACAACAAAAGAACAAAAATTCCAATTAATAATTGTGCGAATGAACAGCTTTCAGAAGTACAAATACGAATGGCTAATAAATATATGATGAACAGTCCAACATCCATAGACATAAAGGAAATGCAAATCAACTGTACACTGAGATTCCATCTCAGCCCAGTCAGAAGGACAATCATTAAGAAAACTTACCACAACAATTGCTGATGAGGATGCAGGGAAAAAAGAATCCTCATACACTCTTGGTAGGAATGTAGACTGGTGCAATCACTGTAGACATCTATATGGAGGTTCATCAAAAACCCAAAAATAAACCTACCATACCAACCATGTGCACATATCCAAATGAGTGTAAATCATCATATAAGAGAGATACCTGAACACCCATGTTTATTGCAGCACTATTCACCACAGCCAAGATGTGGAAGCAGCCTAAGTGTCCCATAACTAATGATTAAATAAATAAAATGTGATATTTATTATATATATGGTATATATACATGTATATATAATACTGAATAATACTCCATGATACGTATATATGTGTGTATATGTGTATGTGTACACACACACATAGATATATATATACACATATATATACATACACATATATATATTTATATATACATATATGGACATAAAGAAGACTGAAATGTGTCATTTGCAGGAAAATGGATGGAACTAGAGGTCATAATATTGAGTGAGATAAACCAAGATCAAAAAGCCAAATATTGCATGTTTTTGATCTAGAGCTAAAATGGTGATGATGATAACAACAACAATAACAATAATATTATAACACGAGAGTAAAAGAAGTCTATCTGGGGAGGGATTAGCAGAGATGGGGAAGGAAATATCACTGGGTTATGGAGAGCATGGTGAGCTTGTTCAATGTGCACTGTAGAAATCTATGGGATTATCACACTGAAACTCCCTTGTACTGTGAATGTATGCTAACTAAAAACTTTAAAAAATCATTGTTAGGGTAAGGAAGTGATCTGATTTATTTTAATGAACCTACTTTAATTATGGGCTGATTATCAACCATGCTTTTTCATAGTGATTACATTGATAGCTCAAAGTATTTGGTAAAACAATACTTACTGTTTCAAATATATAAATATATCCAGTCAATATCCAATAGGAGACTTCATTTATAAACACAAGTTAAAATTCCTTTCTGGTTATAGTTTGGAAAACAATTTTATTTCTTCTTTTAAAAAAGATCCTATTTAATTGATAGATATTGTGATGTATAGAACAACCTATGTGACTTTTTATGCATTAGCTCTCCAAGAGAGTAAAGGAACCTGTAATCCACTCATTGCTGGTTGTATTGGACTTCACAGTAATTATTATTTAACTTTATTATTATATAGTTACTAATGCAATTGGCAATCAGACTTCCAGTGTTAGTATTCTTATTTTACCACTTGCTATTTTACCTTATGTATGTTACATAATAACTTTTATAGTTCATTAACTCTTCTATACAATAATAAGAAATATAATTAGTATGTGTACATAATATGTAAATAACTGTTTACATATTTTAGTGTGTATAATTCTTAGATGTATGTTTATCATTTACATTCTATGTAATTATATTAGCTATTATCTATGTTTTTCTTGCAAAACTTGATGTGTATGCTTATTTTTCCCAACAAACTCAGCATTCATTTTTGTTTTACTAATCTGTCTTGTATTTTTGTCATTTGGTTTTAAAGAAAAATATATATTATGAAGGAATTTTGTGGTGTGCCTTCTAAAATCATTTTTTTAGTTATAGGTAGATGCTGACTCACAATTGCATTTACATATCTTCCGACATTTGAATATATTTACCTAGTATGATGTCCTACATGTGTGAATGAAAATTAAACCATCATATTTATAATTTTGTTTCATATATTGTTTCCATTACAGGTTTGTTTTGGTAGCAGCAACATTGTCTCATGGATTCCCTGGTAGATGGGAACCACACTGCAGTGACAGAGTTCATTTTATTGGGCTTAACAAATGATCCAGTCCTTCGAGTCATCCTCTTCATGGTCATCCTGTGTATCTACCTGGTTACCATATCTGGCAATCTCAGTACAATCATTCTTATCAGAGTCTCTTCTCAGCTCCAACATCCCATGTACTTTTTTCTGAGCCATTTAGCTTTTGCTGACATGGTGTTTTCATCTTCAGTCACACCCAATATGCTTGTTAACTTCCTGGTGGAAAAAAATATAATTTCCTACCTTGGTTGTGCCATCCAGCTTGATTCAGTCATTTTTTTTGGGACGGCTGAGGGTTTCCTTCTGGCTGCCATGGCATATGATCGCTTTGTTGCCATCTGCAACCCACTACTGTATTCAACCAAAATGTCCACACAAGTCTGTGTCCAGTTACTTGTAGTAGCTTACATTGGTGGTTTCCTTAATGCATCCACCTTTACCCTGTCCTTCATTTCTTTGTTCTTCTGTGGATCTAATAGAATCAATCATTTTTTCTGTGATTTTTCTCCTTTAGTTGAACTCTCCTGTTCTGATGTCAGTGTCCCTGAAGTTGTTCCCTCATTTACTTCTGGCTCCATTATTGTGTTCACAGTGATTGTCATAGCCATCTCCTACATCTACATTCTTATCACCATCCTGAAGATGCACTCCACTGATGGCCGCCACAAGGCCTTCTCCACTTGCACCTCCCATCTCACTGCAGTCACTCTGTTCTATGGGACCATTACATTCATCTACGTGATGCCCAAGTCCAGCTACTCCACTGACCAGAACAAGGTGGTGTCTGTGTTCTACACAGTGGTGATCCCTATGTTGAACCCCGTCATCTATAGTCTCAGGAATAATGAGATTAAGGAGGCTCTGAAGAGACAGCTTGGTAGGAAAATACTCTCCTAATGAAGTATGCTATTTTGTAGGACTTTATATAATAATAGTATCCCATAGATACAATAATTAGAAGAATTTATATTTTATTATTTATTAGTGTTTGTGGCTGAGATATATCTATTGATATGTCATTACCTAGTGTGGAGTTTTTCAGTAAATATAGGGGTTCAACTCTTAGAATATATGGAAAACAAAGGGCTGTTAGTTACTTTTAATAACTGAATTTAATTTATAATTAAGAATCAAAATTTATTTACATAAAACAAAATCTTCTAAAAATACTTTTCAAGTATAGTTGTTCTGTGATATATATTAAGGCTCCTTTATGTTGTTATGGTTTAGATCTTAAGTGTTCCCGAAGTTCGTGTGGTAAAGATTTGGTCCCTAGAGTGGTTCTATTAAGAGGTGGTAGAAACTTTGACAGGTTGAACCTAGTGAGGTATCTTTCATTTATTCATAATTTGCCATCATAGTGGATCCCAGTCCCTTTTTCTTTATCTTTTTTTGCCTACTGAGAATGAGGTAAGTGGTTTGGCCCCACTTCATGTTTCTCCCATGGTGTGCCACAACAGAACCAGAATAAACTCATCACGGATTGAAATCTCCAAAACCATGGCAAAAATAAACCTTTTTTAAGTTGATTATCTCAGCTGTTTGTTATAGTAACAGAAAGCTGATTAACACACATCTCAATTCTTTAGGTTGTGTCCATTTCAACATCTGGTGAACATGAGATAAGCCTGGTAACTATATCCATGACTCAGTGCATTGTAAGAGAAATGATGACATATGACCAGAGATTAAAATGACTGTTTTTTTCTTTCTCATTTACTCATTTACCCCAAGTTATTTTGGGGGATAAATTCTGTGGGCCCATAAAATTTTGGTCTGTGATCCAGATTTCTTCTTTCAGCCTAATAAAGGCATTAGAAGAGAAGACCAGGAGGACCCATCCTTAATTAATCTGTGAATTCCTCTTTCCAGTCAAAGCAGGCAAGGTCCTCTGATGGAATAACAGAATTTTGAGCTTCTAAGGACTTGGTGAAACAAAAACAAACAATAATTTCCAAGGAGACTCAGGTTTATAGTGTAACCAAAAGATCAAACTTTTAGAATGATTTAATGGTCAGACCCACAAATCATGTTGAGGATGCTGGAACAGAATTGTTATTTCTCCTTTGAAATTCTGACTGTCTCCCAGAAAGACTTAATCAACATTCATATGGTAATGTCTCAGTTATTTCCCTTTCCTCTCCCCTCCTTAGTTTTTCAGAAACAAATTCCATGTTTTTGCTGGTAGACCAAGGACATGAAGCTTACTGTTTCATCTATTAAAATTATTTGAGTGATTCTTATATTCTAAGCACTAGTTTAGGCTATTTGGATTACAAGTGACAAGTAGGCAAAGATGGGATTTATGCTCTAGATAATAAAACCTAAAGGCAAATGAGAGGGTAATGAGTAAATGTGAAAGAAAAAAAAGTGTGGGATATTAAAGTGACAAAGACAGGGAGTGAGCAGTTCAGATCTCAGTGATCACATAACACCTGAAAAAGGATGGCAGGAGGTGAGGGTACATCAGGTTGAATTTGGAACTACCATGTACAGTTGTATGAGACCAACATTCCACTTATCTTCATGTCATTTACTTTTGGACTTCTCCACCAAGGTCAGGGATGGTCATTTTAATTAATCCCATATGAATTTAATAAAGTAGATGATAAACTGTTAAGTATATCTTAAATATCACATCAGATCTTACAAAGTAATAAGGAATTCCATCACCAGAAAGTGTGAGAACTCAGGGAAGTAGACTAACACTAATTTTTTTGCAATGATAGAATTTGACAAATTATATAACCATGGTTATAGACTTAGTGATCTTCTGGGATGATAGAGTCAAAGTAAAAATCTAGGGCATGTTTTAGTGAGAAGTCTCATTGATACACCTACCTTCATTCTTACCTTACCTTCAGGAAGAGGGAAAACTGGAAGTACCAAGTCTTGCTCAGATTTGTATCATGGAGGTCTCCCTGATAAACATAGTTCCCATGAGTTTTTATATAGGATTGCAAGTGATAGCACAGGAAGAGGAGTATTCTAGCATAAAAACCCTGTGACCCTTGATAGAACAAATACATTTAATAACTGTAAAATATAGTTTCAGGTCCCTGCAAAGGTTGTTTAGTGTCATAAAATTGACATTACTCAGGGAAGCATAAGAAATTAAGAGAATGTATTTTTTATTGTCCTCTAAGTCCAGCTGCATTTTATAATTAATCATTTTAGTCATAAGCAATGCTGCACGTAACACAGCTGACATTCACATTTATTAGGATTTAGGAGAAATAGGAAGTTCAGCCAAGGACAATTTGACCTTCAATTGAAGTAGAAATATTCTTCCCCTAAAGGGAAGAGTGCTTGTAATATTGGATCTCAAAGTCATGCAGTTTCAATATAGAATTCTTAATAAATGCACGGCTTAACATAAACAGAGTCAGACAAAAATCACATGATCATTTCAATTGATACAAAAAAAGACTTTTGTGAAATTTTATGTTGTTTCATGTAAAAAACTCTGAAGAAAAAAGGAATTGAAGGAATGTACCTCCACTTAAAAGGCTATATATGACAAACCTATAGCCACCAATATATTAAATGGGAAAAACTGAAATAATTTCCTCTAAAATCAGAAACGAGACTGTTCAATATAGTACTTCAAGCCAGAGCAATAAAACAAGAGAAAAAAAATAAAAGGGATTCAAATAGGAAAGGAAGATGTCAGTTATCTCTGTTTGTAAATGATATGATTTTATTCTTAAAAGACCCAATGATTCCACTAAAAACTCCTGGATCTGATAAATACTTGACAGTGTAGTAGGATATAAAATAAACATATAAAAAATCAGTGAACAGGATGAAAAAGAGATCATTAAAATAATCCCATTCAAAATAGCCTCAAAAATTAAAATACCTACGTAAACTTAACCAATGTGGTCAAAGACTTTTGCAATTAAAAGTATAAAACATTGTTTTATATATTGAAGAAAATATCACAAGGTGGAAAAACCATGCTCATGGTTTGGTAGAATTATGTCATGAAAGTGACTATACTATCAAAAGCACTCTACAGGTTCAATGAAATACCCATCAAAATTTCAATGTCATTCTTCACATAAATAGAAAAATCAATCCTAAAATTCATATGGACCCTAAATAGCAAAAGTAATCCAGAGCAAAAAGAACACTGGAAGTATCACAATACCAGACTTCAAATCATACTACAGAGTCACAGTAAAAAGTGACTGTAAAAAGTCCAGCTTGGTACTAGAAAAAAAAAAGGCATGAAAACCAATTGAAAGAAGACCCAGATATAAAACCACACAATTATAACTGTTTAATCTTTGACAAATGAACCAAAGACATATACCAGAGAAAAGATAGCAAATGGTGCTAAGAAAACTGGCTGTTTATATACAGAATACTGAAACTGGACCTGTATTTCTCAACCTGTGCAAAAATCAACTCCAAATGGATCAAGTATCTTAATGTAAAAGCTGAAATGTTGAAAATACTACAGGAAAAATGGAGAAAACTCTGGAAGATATAGGCATAGGTAATTATTTTCTGAATAGGAGTCCAATTGCCCAAAAAATAAGAGCAAGAATTAACAAATTAAAAAGTTTCTGCACATCAAAAGAAAATTACCAGAATCAAGACACAACCCACAGAATGGGAGAGAATCTTCACAAATTACAACTACACTAAGATTTCATTTTATCCTGGTCAGAATGCTATCACTAAGAAAACATATACCAAATGCTTGTGAGGATGTGTGTATGGAAAAGAATCCTCACACACAATTTGTGGGAATGTAAACTAGTGTAACCACTATGGAAATCAGTATGGATATTTCCAAAAAACTAAAAATAGACTTCCTTATGACCCTGCCATACCACTCTTGGACATATATCTGAAGGGGTGTAAATCAATATACAAGAAAGATACCTGTATACCTATGTTTATTGCAGCCTTCTACACAATAACCACACCGTACAAACAGCTGAGTCCCCTAATAACCAATGAATGGATGAAGAAAATGATATATATAGAGATATACATATACATATATGTGTTTGTGTGTGTGTGTGTGTGTGCATCTGTGTGTATGTATGTATGTAATGGAATATTACTAGCCATAAAAAATGAAATTATGTCATTTGCAGGAAAATATGTGGAACTGGAGATCATTACACTCAATAAGATAAGCCAAACTCAGAAGCTCAAATATCGCATGCTCTCCCTCATTTATGGAACCTACACCTAAAATGATGATGGAACATGAATGCATATGAGGTAATGTCGGGGGGGGGGGGGAATCAGCAAGAGTGCAGAGGTGTAACAATGGTCAAAGTAAGCTGCATATATACATATGAAAACAGCATAACGAAACCCATCAAACGCTGTTTGTAAAGTGGGAGGAGGGAGGTGGAAATGGAGGGAAGTGAATATGTTCAAAGTACACTGTAAGCATGCAAGGAATTGTCACAATGCAATCCCTTTGTACTATTAATGTACACTAATTCAAAAAAATTTTTTAAATGCACTGCTTAGTAGCATAGACAGAACATAAGTTTCCTGAATGTTGTTATTTGAGAAATGGGCTACATGTTATGTGTCAAGAATGGGATGCTCAGAGAAATCATGAAATGTCTTCAAAATTCAGAATGGCAGTCATCAAGAAAACAAATAACAAATGGTGGTGAGGATTTGGACAAAAAAGTAATCCAATAAGGGGAATGTTGATGTGAATGCAAATTAGTACAGCCATTATAAAAGCACTATGAAGTGTCCTCAAAAACCTAAAAATAAAACTACCATATAACCCTGTTATACCACTCTTGGGCATATATCCAAGGCAATGCAAGTCAGCATGCACACAAAAGAGGTACTTGAACAGTCATGTTTATTGCAGCACTATCCACAATTGTTAAGTTACGGAATTAGCC